TTTTTTATTGCTGAAGTGTGTTGACATTTCTTCTTCTGCATTCTACTGTACGGACGTAAATGTACTTTCCCTTCAGCCTGAGGCTTATTCATTTCACTTTTGGTGTGAAAAGGCTTTTATATTTGCCAAAAATATAACTTTTTTATTTTAAAAACAAACAAGCAAACCCTGTCCAGATTTAAAAAGTAACGCAAAAGTAACGTAACACATTACTTTTCATAAAAAGTAACGTAATTAGTTACTTTTTTGTGGAGTAACGCGATATTGTAATGCATTAATTTTAAAAGTAACTTCCCCCAACACTGATGAGCGCTGCTGATGCAAACACACCTGAGAGGTTCTTGACGAGGTCTTTGCGTTTGTGAGGCAAACCCACGTCTCGAATCATCTGATCGATCTCCTTCTTCACCTCTTTAGAGCTCCGACCCTTCAGACGAGCGTAGAAATAAATGTGCTCTTCCACTGTCAGGCTGAAATGAACAGCATACACACATGAACAAATGATAACTTATATACACACAGACAGAACATATGCAATAGTCACACATACTTGTGCAGAAATATAGAATATATAGTCATAAACAGGAGAGGAGAAGAGATGAGTTTTGTGTAGAACTACTTTCTTACTGATTTCGGTATTATTTTAGTATTATTTATGTGCTATTTGTGTTTAGTAATATTTTTGAATTACAGTAGCATTTATTTTCATATTTTCTGTTTTCATTTTAATTTTAGTTTAAGTTTTAGAAATTTTGCTATGTGTTTTTGTCATTTTTTCGCTTTTTTCTATTGTATTATTATTTCTATTATGTATTCATTTCTATTATTTATTTTCTGTTTTTTTTATATTTCTATTTATCTTTACATTCCAGTTTTAATTCTAGTAATTTTAACACTTCAAATAATTTAAGTTACCTGTCAAGGCAAAATTTCTAATTTTATTTTAAGTTTAAATTTGTCTTCTAATATTTATTTTTGTATTTTATATTTAGAGGAGATGAGTTTTCAGGTATTTGTTCATAAAACACTCATGTGTACAACTAATATCTTATGTCACTGATTTCATATCTTGCTCAAGATTTCAGCATTATTCATATATTATTATAATATTTATTAATATTTTAGTTAGCTTTTATTCAGTTTTCATTTAAGTTTAAGTTTTAGTAATTGTATGTGCTTTTATCATTTTTATAAGTTTTAGATTTTTTTTATATTTACGTTTAGCTTTTTTAAATTAATTTTTCATTTTATTGATTTATTTTAATATTATAATTTTAGCACTTCAAATCATTTAAGTTAGCTGTCAAAGTAACATTTCTAATTTTCATTTAGGTTTTCTAAGTTTAGGTTTTCTATATATTATTTGTATTTTATGTCCGCTTTATTTCAATTAAATAATTATTAATAGTTTTTGTTAACAATAACGACACAGGCTATTAGTTGGATAAAAATATTCACATCCACAGGTTAACTAAAATATTCACGTGAAGAAAGCTAACATTCTTTGTTATGCATGATGCATATCCTGTGTTTCTCATGCATATGTATGAATTGTGAGAGATTAATGCCTCGGTCGTAGAATAAAACTGAACTTGAGATCATTTCATCGCTGAAAAATCTTTTTTGCATGCAAAACCATTTTGGAGTTGAACTGTGATTACCTCCAGTTTTTTTTTTTTTTAAGTATTTGTTTTGAAAGAACATTTTGGTGAACTCTGGCATTAGCTGTCAAACCTTGTTGTCAGATTTTTCAGATTTCAGATGTGCCAGTATTCAGATCTTGAACAAATGCAACACTGAATCTGTGTCCTCTTATGTGTGTCTGTGTTTGTGGAGGAGGTTTTACTCGTTGAAGAGGACGTTGTGTTGTGGACACATTCCCAGGTGAGTCCTGATGGTGTCCATGTCGCTGCGGATGTCGTAGCCGTTAACGTAAGCCGTACCCGAGGTGGGAGCGAAAAGACCCGTCAGTATCGACCTGGTGAACAAGAAAAATAAATGAAAATAAACATGAGCTTTAAAGCCTCTAATGTATGGGAGATTTCATGCTTAGACACCGCATGCCGCTTTTTACTTTGCATTCTTTAGAACTGTATTAAGTGTGTGCATAACATATACAGTGGCACTTAAGTTACAATTAAAAATGTATGCATGCGTTTGCATTATACCTATATATATATACACACACAAACAGAATTGATTACGTTTTAAGAAATACAACACAAGCACACAATGAATGCAACGATGCAAATACATAGTTTAAACTGAAATGACAAGAGTCTCGTAAACTCTGCAGTTAATGTGATGAACTGCATCTGTGTTTGTCTGCTGTTTTTCTGACTGTGAGAGAAGCGGCTTAAAAATGATTTAAAAAGTGGTTCAGAAAAGTTAGTCCAGCATCATTTGTTTGTAGATGTCACTTTCATATTTTCCATCTAATGCAATGAGGTATTTTTAAGTCTAATATGTTTTATAGTTGTTTAAACTATGCATACACATAACCTGCAAAACATATATAACACACACATTTTCATTATTTTTTTTATTTTAGTCATTTTGTTATGTGATTTTATCCTTTTAATTAATTGTTTTTTAATATTAATGTTTTTATAATTTAAATATTTTATTTCATAATTTAATTTATTTTTATTTCAGTTTTAATGTTAGTATTTGTATTCCTTCAAATAAATTATAGCTATACTTTAAGTTAATAAATTCAAATTTTTCTTTCATTTTTTTTTTTTTTTTTTTTGTTTAAGTTTAAGTTTTCCATCTAATATTTTTCAGGTTTTTGTTCATAAAACGCTCATGTGTACAACTACTTCCTTACGCCACTTAGTTCATATCTTGCATAGAATTGCAGTGTTATTTTAGTATTATTTAAATATACTATATATACACATAAACTATAGACTTGAGTCACAAGTCTAAATATCTCAATGCATGTCCAAATATTATCTGGGCTATAGTAATAATCTACCATTTTGTCTTTTTTTAACTTCTATACATACTTTTTAAGAATTTACATATCATATTATTAAAAAACTTCCAGCCATATTTATCCCACTTTAAAGTAATATACAACTCCATAGGTTATCCTTTTTTCTTATATTGAAAAATAGATTTGTTCAATTCTATTTTCTTTCACTGTCTATTCAACCCTGCATTACCAGTGCAAGTGACACCAAAAATGATCCGAGTAGACAAGCAATACGACATTTATAATGCTATAATATGCTAATTATACGCCATCATCATAGCATTTGACTTCACAGCAACTGTGAAAACGCTGCACCATAAACCAACTTTGACGGGGTCCAAAGCATCTAGCGTTTTATTGTTCAAGGTGTATGAGGCATGTGTAAGACTGTGTGAAACCCACATGGTGGTGGTTTTTCCGGCTCCGTTGTGTCCTAAAAACGAGGTGATGTGATCCTGATAGAAGTCCAGACTGAGTCCGTCCACGGCCAGTTTATTTCCCGTCTTATAGACCTTCACCAGGTTTCTGATACAAACTCCAGGCTTCATTCCAGGCGGAGGCTTTTCCAGGAAACCTGCGGCACACGAGTTAATTCAGCTGGATTCTGACGGGGAATTGTCTGTACAGATCTGCATGCTGTGTGTGTGTGTGTGTCTGTGTGTGAGTGTGTGTGTGTGTGTGTGTACCTGTTTTTCTATTCTGGTGGGGTGAATACACACAAACTCGTGGGGACTCGTGTCACGGTGAGGACCTAACGGGTAAACAAGCTAATAAATCACCCAGAATGAAGAGTGTGTGTGTGTCTGTGTCTGTGTGTGTGTTTTTACCGCTCTGATTCTCCAGCTCTTGAAGCAGGTCGGGTTGGGCATCAGATCCCACTGGAGTCCCACACCAGTACGAGGACGTGAAGGGAAAATACCAGGGCTTCGGGATGCCATACTGACCTAAAGAAAGACACGAACAAGTGTTTAAGCACGTCCAATTTTATCTAGGTACATACATACATACATACATACATACAGTTTATTCAACATGGTTTTCTGTAAAGCTGCCTTGAAACAATGCGTGTCTTGAAAAGTGCTGTACTAATACATTTGACTTGGCTAAATATATACTTAATATATAGTCCATTTAAGTTAGTCAGGATTCTCGCACCAGAAACAGAAATCACAAACTCATAATGGAAGTGAATATATCTCATGATCAGGACTTGGAAACTGAAACCTATTCACAACAGGAAAAATACACTCTCTGAAAGTAAAAGCCGGGAACGTGTTTAATGTACAAACGTACTGTATCTGCGAAGCACCCTTTCATTACTTTTACACCTCTATTATTAGCATTACACTTTAATATATTCATATATCTCACTGTCACTTTATCACTGCATTACAGTTTTATCAGACAGTTTGTATCTTGCACTAAATGGACATTTGAGTCTCGCATGTGAAGAGCTGGATTGCTTTTTTCTTTCACTCTTGGAAACACATCTGTGATTCACTTCTGGTCTTTATAATGAACCAGCCTATTATTTGCACTCTAGCATTCAAATGTATTTTTTTTTTAATTGTGTGTCTCTTCTTCTCCCCAAGGCTGCATTTATTTGATAAAAAATACTGTAAAAATTTAAATAGATGTTTTCTATGTGAATATATTGTAAAATGTAATTTATTCCTGTGACCAAAGCTGATCTTCAGAAATCATTCTAATATGCTGATTTGACGCTGAATAAATATTTCCGATTATTATCAATGTCGAAAACAGTTGGGCTGCTTCATGTTTTTTTGTGGAAATCATGATATATTTTATTCTTCTGTTTTTGTTTTTTTTGTTTTTTGATAATTAGAAATTTACCAGAAACAGAAATCACAAACTCATAATGGAAGTGAATATATCTCATGATCAGGACTTGGAAACTGAAACCTATTCACAACAGGAAAAATACACTCTCTGAAAGTAAAAGCCGGGAACGTGTTTAATGTACAAACGTACTGTATCTGCGAAGCACCCTTTCATTACTTTTACACCTCTATTATTAGCATTACACTATAATATATTCATATATCTCACTGTCACTTCATCACTGCATTACAGTTTTATCAGACAGTTTGTATCTTGCACTAAATGGACATTTGAGTCTCGCATGTGAAGAGCTGGATTGCTTTTTTCTTTCACTCTTGGTGTGAACTAGATTACATCTGTGATTCACTTCTGGTCTTTATAATGAACCAGCCTATTATTTGCACTCTAGCATTCAAATGTATTTTTTTTTTTAATTGTGTGTCTCTTCTTCTCCCCAAGGCTGCATTTATTTGATCAAAAATACAGTAAAAATTTAAATAGATGTTTTCTATGTGAATATATTGTAAAATGTAATTTATTCCTGTGACCAAAGCTGATCTTCAGAAATCATTCTAATATGCTGATTTGACGCTGAATAAATATTTCTGATTATTATCAATGTCGAAAACAGTTGGGCTGCTTCATGTTTTTTTGTGGAAATCATGATATATTTTATTCTTCTGTTTTTGTTTTTTTTGTTTTTTGATAATTAGAAATTTTAAAGGAAGAAACTCATTTGTTTAAAATTATATGATTTTTTATTTAATTATTTATATTTTGTTTATTTATATTCAACTTATATATTATTCAACTAGGGCCCATTAAATTGATCAAAAGTTACATTACATATGTTTTTAATTTAAAAACGTTTTTTTATTTATTTTTATTTATTTTATAAAATATTTGTAATCAATCTGAAAAACAAATTGAGCAGCAAATCAGCATATTAGAATGATTTCTGAAGATCATGTGACACTGAAGACTGGAGTAATGATGCTGAAAATTCAGCTTTGCATCACAGAAATAAATTACATTTTAATATATATTCACATAGAAAACAGTTATTTAAACTATAATAATATTTCACTTTTTTACTGTATTTTTGATCAAATAAACGCAGCCTTAGTGAACATAAGACGTCTTTCAAAATCCTTTGTCACATCATACATACTTTTATTTCAAATCATCAAGAAAAAATCAATAAATATGAGATGTTTTCTAGTTGTATGAATGTTTTCAGAGCATCGTACCCGGATAGACGTTCTCGATGTACCAGGTGAGAACCCAGTAAATGAACGCGTCGAACAGCATCATGAAGATGGAGACGATGAAGGAGTAGCGGTCGTTCTCCTGCGGACTGACCCGGATGTTGCTCCACTGAATGCCGATGCCCTGCTCTTCATAACGGGATAAATTCTCACAGCCGTATCCGAACGCCACACACGACAGCAGGCTCTGTTGAGATGGAGATGGAGAGGTCAGACACACATCTGATCCACGCCATTAGCCTGTTAACCCGCACGGCCCAAGGGCGTGTTTAGGCGTGTCTGTGCTTTTAATTACCTTTGTTTTAAAACAATATTCAATCAACTATCATAAACTATATATCATTTGACAGCTAAAACACTTAAGATCCATGTTCTGAGCTTGGTTAACATAAATGCTGAAGGACCGGCCATTTAAACATGTAATGTATATTAAATGTAAATTTTTCTCCCGCCATGTGCATTTTTACTCTGGTATGAATATGAGATCAAAACAGCGGCAATACTGCCATCCACAATTTCAAAATAAACAGTATCTCTCTCTGTGTGTGTGTGTGTGCGTGTGTGTGCGTGTGTGTGTGTGTGTGTGTGTGTGTGTGTAGGATTCACATTAATGGGCCTGCAGGTTCATTCATCTAGACTAGACAGTGGCGCCTGAATGCCAAGACGCTCACACACACACACACACACACACACACACACACACGCACACACACACACGCACACACACACACACACACACAGATAAGAGGAAGACATCCACACACTGCTGAATAGAGCGAATCTCTTCGAGTGAGATAAAGGTCACTCTGATTGGTCACAATGACGGAAGTGCGGCTGTAAGTCATTTAGTTGGTCTTTCTCTTTCTCAAAGGGCAAAAGTGCCCGTCCATCGCTCTTCTCTTCAGGTGTGGGTCATCGCTATCTCTCTCTCTCGCACTACTGTACATCCTCACTGGAGATGAATGGAGGAGCTCCTCCAGAGGAGATCAGAATCTCATCCTGTGGATTTGTACCTTAAGAAGAGCTGAGCGCTTCATTCAGTCTGTGTGAGTAAGTGACGCATTAAATGAACACACAGGTCAAATAACACATTCTTTTCTCTCCTTATTTCTAACTCTGCAGATTATTGTAATATTCTTGTAATAACAAAAAGTACACTTTAGCATACTTTTAACAAGAGTATTTATTACACATAAAAATACTTTAAAAATGTATACTTAAGTGTGAACTGAATATAATGTTTTCAGACACTTAACTGAATGTTAAATGCAATTAAATGAAAATGCATTATAGTTTAAAAAATACATTAAATGCAACTTTAGAATGTTTCTGGCCCACTTAAGTAGGATTTAAGTACATATTTATATGCAATTTCATAATTACGTCTATTGTCTGAAATATGGTTAAAGTGTACTTAAACATTTGCAATTAAACATTTGAAATGACGAAATTCCAAATTAGTGCATTTAAAATATATTAATTGTAATACTGAATAACTCACTAGTTAAAATGATCATCGAGTTATTTACATGTGGTTTAGTATGTTAGTCAACACATCAAAATAAGTGTACTTCTTTAAAACACGACAAAATATTATTAAAATATGATGATTTAAAATACTTTAAAGTGAAACTTTTAATTTGACATTATTACAAATGTCACTTTAAAAAGTGTACCTAAGTGTTAGAAACAGTCATGAAAGTGTCACTGTTTAAGTCACTTAAGTGGTCTTTTAATTAATTTATATTACATTATATGCAAGTACAATTTTTTTAAATATACTTGTAAGATTTGAAGTACACTACAAGTGCCCATTCAGTACAATTAAGTGCACTTCTTTCAGAACTCCTGACTCTGGATCTGCTTTCAGCATCTGATGATTAGATGTATTAGGACACGAGTCCTCCGGGTTGCTGCAGAGGTGTGTTGAATGTCTCACCGTGGCGATCTTGGCGCCGAAGCCCATGACGTCCCTCCAGGTATAGCAAAGCACATGAGGCAGGTAGAGCAGGAAGTAGATGAGGCCCCCACAGGCGGCTGCCAGATTCGCCCGAGAGAAAAACACACTGATGAAAAAGCACTGCATGACAGTGGCCATGCAGAAGACCAGGAGGAAGACAAAGATCACAGACGGGTCGCTGTATCGCAGAACCTTTCCATACTGAGAGAGAGAAAGAGAGAGAGAGAGAGAGGAGGAGAGAAAAATAATGGAGCCACATTGTTATTGTCAAACAGTTGCTGAGGCAAAAGACGGATTCGTCTACGGAGCGTGAAGACATTCGGACGTAACCGCGTGAAAGCTTTTCAGAGCCTCTAATGAACGTTGCATTTGAGTTTCCATGGATGCATTAATAATACAACCTGATAATTACAAACACATTGAAAAGCCACTCGTCTGAGAGAAGATATTACATCTGTCAAGAGCAGTGATAGAGAGAGAGAGATGATTAAAAGACAGGTCTGTGATTGAATAAGCGGTGGGCATCATGGCTCTGGTGGGTTGAGCTAAATAAATCGTGTGTGCACTCGAATATAAGCTCATCTGTCATGTTCTTGAACCTGCTGGTCCCACACAGAGTCACGCTGCCCAACCAAAACCGTCCATTCACAAACACTGCACCATCTGATCCGACACCAGCTTTGACACTACAGAGCAGTGGTTCACCATTGGTTGACTGGCTAATTAATAAATAAAATGATCGCTATCATTAATTTCATGATAAAGTGCTTCAGGAACATACCTCACAGTTATGTGTTGGTGAATGTAAGTTGTTGGCTTTTGGTAGCACTTGGTCAATTTCTATGATAAAATTATAGATTGGAGGAAGAACGAAAGGGCGAAAATGACGTTCAAATGAGAGTTGGGATATTAGGCAGACACAATTTCTGGGATGCGCAAGAAAATATTTGTAATAGTAGAAAAAATATCTAATTTTAAATTTACCTGCTTTCATATGCTACTTGCTGTCAAACGTGTGCAAAATTAATATTCCTGAATTCAAATAACCTTTTGATAACTGCATGTAAACTGACAGTTTATTTGTACACACAGAAAGAAAAAAAAACATCTAATTTAACTGCTTTTATTAAGGTCAAATATATTGTTTAGCATCACTGGATTAACCTAAATACATTAATGTATACCAATAAAACTATTTTATCGGTTTAATAATGTAGAAATAGCCCTTTATTATAAAGTTACCAGTTTTTACAGAGTGCATTAGGCTTCATGGCCTTCATGTTTACATTCCTACTAATCAAGACTGATGAACTATGTGCAATCAATACATTACACTAACAATGAGTAAGCAGCAAAAATCAGTCTGCATTTGGTTATTACAGTTTATTTATTATGCCTCTGGTCGTTACTATATTTAGATGCAGGTTCAATGAACAACTGTCAAAGTATATAAATAATAACTGGTGATCTTTTTTGGTAACCAGTATACAGCGGCGCTTCCCAACCTTTTTGACTCCAAGTCCAAAGTGTTAAATATGAAACATGATGAAAAGTGTAATAAACTGATAAATCAATTAAACATATTGAATTGTAAAATTTCAGAAGTTTACGGGTGAATTAAATTGAGGATTTTTAGTTGTTTTACCAAAATTTAAAGCTTATTTTGTTTATTTAAAAACTTTTTCGATCATCTTGAGGCCCATAATGGTATACAGTGTTTTTTTATTTTTTTTGCCTTTCATGCTCATCACGTTGGTCTAGCTGCAACAGCATCCAGCTTTACCAGCTTGAGCAACTAATAGATCATCACTGTCTATTAATAAAAACCAGTTAAGACTATCTTGGAATTTAAGCCGAGTCTAACCAGGTTTTCATCTTTTCAGCAGGACAGGGCAACTAATAGATCATCACTGTCTATTAATAAAAACCAGTTAAGACTATCTTGGAATTTAAGCCCGAGTCCAACCTGGTATTCATCTTTTCAGCAGGACAGGCTAAAATGTTTATGAACCACTACTAGTGCAAAGCTGAGTAAGCTCTCTGATCCAGTGTACTCCAGATCAGATCTTGGATCCAGTGTACCGCAATGTTTGTGAATGGCAGTGAATCAGCGTTAATCACCTTGAGAATGACAGTGAGGAGTGCGGCGCTGACAGCGAGGGGCAACGTGCTGCTGATGGCCCAGCTCAGCCAGTAGGTGGAGCTCTTCAATCCCATCATCCTCACAGTCTCCTTCAGACGAGCCTCCTTCTCCTGAACCACACCCTTGACTATCAACGCAACCGAGAAGATCCACGCCAAAGTCATATATAGAGGCAGGGAGCGACTCAGAGATCGCAGAAACCTGCACATGCACACACAAACAAGCATGAAGACCTCCTTGCAATGCAAACTTCATTCAAAGAGTTATTTCACATATATACAGGCCATACAACCAAGCAGATCTACAATCTTCCCAAACTAACAGGTTTTCTATAAATCATTTAACATGGACACCACAGAAAATATGCTATATGTCACTAAAGCCCTGCGGCTGCAAAGAGCTGCCTCTAGGTCGTCTGTCCTCATTTGACTGGATCTGTCTACTGCCTTTAGTACAGTAAATCACAAAATACTCCTGTCCAATCGGCATCACAGGAACTTCACCCCGCTGGCTTGAGATATATGTCACTGGTAGATTATTCAGGGTATCTTGGAGGGAAAGAGAGTCACAGTCACATCAACCGATCACTGAGATACCGCAGGGTTCGGTGCGTGGCCCACTTCTCTTCTCAATTTACACAACACCGCTGGAGACGATCATTCCGGCACATGGATTTTTTTAGCACTGCTACTTCTTGTTTCAACCTGACAGCCCCACAGCAGGTGCACAGATCTAGACATGTCAACACTATCTTACCTACACTCATATTTATAAGTTTATGCTCCCTGCAGAAGTCTGCTGTCAGTGAGTAAGTGGTGCCTCATGGTACAATCACAATGAGGCATAAGATCACTTCCTGAACTTTCATTGTCACTGTACCTTAACAGAAGGATCTTTTCTTTTTCTATTCTAACAGTATTTGAGATACATCAAATAATAACTTTCATGGCCACTTGACTCCCAAGTATGCAATCTTAAAACAGTGTCATTTGACTGACTCACTGGGCACAGTTGTAACTGCCTACTCAATATCAAACACACAAGCCATTTCACTTTTTTTATGGCATTGTTATTTTTCTATATGCATGATACCTGTTACACTTTGGGGCCCCAACAGAGTTTTGGGAATTTTGTTCTGTAGTTTGATTAGTTTAAGTTACCACTATCCAATGTAATTTGTATTTGCCAAATCTGCAACACTGCTGCATGATGTAGTACTTGCTGATGTACAGTACATGCGCTATTTCTGCTAAACCCTTGCTGAATCCAATCAGGATTTTGATGACAATTTAAGTTAGTGATAATATCCTAGGTTCCCAAGTGTTTAGAGGTCAACCTGCTGGTAAATACATATCTAGTCCTTACAATTTTTAAATGATGGGCAAAACATACCTCCATCAGCTCATCTACTCTGGCTTTTAATCAATAGAACTGTGTAAAAATGGTCAGTGCATCTAAATAGGAAAGCACACAGCAATGCATTTAGCCAAAGTGATTAATAAACTCCCAGTAATGCAAAATTTTCAGCTAAATTTTAAATCCAGCACTAATCTGATGATTCCCTGCACATTCTATCCATTTTCACCATGGAAACGAAGAGACGATGAAAGAGTTTCGGAAAGTAACAGGCTGAGAAAGCTGAATAATCACACCGCTGATTATAAGGAGTTCTATAATGGGTCTGTGACAGGCCAGCTGTCATTTTCCTTTTCCTGAGCTTAGAGAAGCACAGAATTGACCTGTTTCACAAGAAAAATAAATACACGACTGCAGGGTAAAGCTGATTCCGCTACTGGTTTGCGGCTATAAAATTAGCATACTTCTCATCTTTTCCTTATTGTGTATTCCATTATATAATATACATAAAAATGAATTTACATTTGGTGAAAACTGATTAGGTCATACTTATTCCCAGCACAGATGCACAGATGGTTTCCAAGAACAGTGAAATTCAACCCAATGCAAATTCAATATATTGAAGCTGGTATTAAAATGACAAAGATATTGTGTATTCCCATTAGAATGAAACCAGGTTATTCTGTCTGTTATTTCCCAGATAATCATGTACACAGTATCCACCTTATTTTTTAACACGGAAGCAAGCTTTTTTCTGTGAATGTGCGAGACTTCCGGTTCATTAGCCGCTGAAGGGAAATAACAAGAAGAATAGCAATGTGCAGTAAATGGTAAAACTGTTTGCTCTACAAACCAGTGTTTTCATAATTAAGATAATCCATTAAATTAATATGGTAAGACACACCAATTTGCAATATCAAGCAGCAAAAAGAGCTGTTTTGTACAGCTAACAATAGCTGGAAGCGAATGAGACCAGAAGCCAGACCCATAAAAATCACAAACGGCCGCGCCCGATCTTATGGGAAAAATAAGGTGGATACTTTTACTCCAAAATCACAGTAACAGAGCAGCCGAGTTCAACACGGTAGTGTGCCGTAAATAATAACTAATAATGATGACATGTGCAATGTGCAGTGCTACATCATTAGGTTCGCTTGGGAAAATGACAGATAGATAATGTATCTTAGCACATCGCTAGCATGTTTTAACATGCCATTAACATGATCTAACACATCACTAGCATGTTTTAGCATTTTGGTATCAGTTTTAAAACATGCTAGCAACAAGCTCAACATGCTATAAACATACTAGCAACATGTTCACAACATGCTTAACATGATAGCAACATACATGCTAGCAACATGCTAAAATGTTAGTCATTTATTAAAACATGCCAATCCATGCTAGCAATGTGCTAAAACATGACAACATGACAATTCATGCTAATAATGTTAAATGTGCTAGAAACATGATAACAACATTCAATTTAATGTCAACAATGTGCTAAAACATGTTAGCCATGTGTTAAAACATGCTGAAAACGTGCTAGCAACATGTTATAAAACATGTTAATTCAGACTAACAACTTGGTACACATGTTTGAAACATGGTAGAATCCATGCTGACAATGTGTTAAATGTGCTAGAAACATGCTAGCAACATGTTAATCCATGGTATCAACATGTTAAACATGCCAACAACATGCTAATTCATGGTATCAACATGTTAAAAATGTATTAACAACATGTCAATTCAGAATAACAACTTGATAAACATGCTAGAAACATGCTAACAACGTCAAAACTTGCTAGCCATGTGCCTAACATGATAAAAACATGCTACCATAGTGTTAAAGCATGCTAGCAACAAGCTAATCCATGGTATCAATATGTTAAACATGCTAGCAACATGTTAAAAATGTGTTAATAACATGTTAATTCAGAATAACAACTTGATAAACATGCTAGAAACATGCTAACAACATGTCAAAACTTGTTATCCATGTGAATAACATGCTAAAACATGCTACAATAGTGTTAAAGCATGCTAGCAACAAGCTAAACATTCTATAAACATACTAGCAACATGCTAACAACATACTAAACATTAGAAACATGTTAGCAGCATGTTAAATATATGGATTTTAATATGACGATGAGCGGTTTTATGATGATGGTAAGAGCATGTGAATGAGATAAACATTAGTGAGATGACAGAAGTGTCTCTGAGAGAAACTGAAAGCTCATTCTGGAGGAGTTCAGGTCTGTGAGGGAAGTGAACTGACAAAAGATGATTTTCCCAGCACTGCACGCTGTAGTTCTCACATTGAGCGCCAACATGAAGAGCCGGCGCGAACAGACAGAGAGAACGAACTAAATGAACTGACACGGGGAACGACATGACTGTGCAGTTTAGTTTAGAAAGAGACCCAAAGCGCCTGTGGCAGTCTGAAGCTGTGCGGATGTTGCTGGAACTCCCTCATAGCGAGAGTGCTGTCAGATGTGTGATGCTGCTTTAAAACAAGTTCAAACATTCACACAATATTTAATTCATATTAATATTTAAGAAGAAACAGATTCCAGATCTCGGCCGCTATTGGAACTCATTGGAAATAAGTTTTGCCTGTAAACGCAAGCGTGGAAGCACTGGAAGTGTGAAACAGGCCAATCCTCAAAGCGAGGGAACAAACACTTTATCTCCATGCAGATAAACACAAAATACTCTGGAAACTGCGAAAAAAAAAAAAGCTCTTTAAAAGACGATGGAGGGAGGCAGCGAGCGATACGGAGGAGGTCGGCTCTGAATCATCAACAATTTGATGCTGTGCATATCAAATTAGCATAATAACCCAATTTAGAGGAATCAAAGATCAACCCGTTTCTGCTTGATTTGCCTCAATTCTGGAGTAATCGTTTCCCTGTAATTATTTCCACTGTGATCACGAGCATCAAAACCACAAAGCACTTTGACTTTATAAATGTGCAACCTCTCAACACAAGCACCTTCCTTTCCTCTCTGCTAAATGGATTATTGTGCCTTTTAACTTCACATTTGAGCTTTTCTAACTATTTTTCTTAATGACTTTAATTGCATTGTAGCTTGACTTTGTCATTTCTCATGCTTTGTATTCAAAAGGGTGCAAACAAAAAGGGATGAAAAACATAGCATTTATGCATATCATAAACCAAATAAAATAATTTATTTTGAATTTGGCTCAGACTGAACTGATCTCTCAAACTGAACTGTATGATCAGATGACTACTGAATTCACATTCACATTTGATTTCATGTTGACCTTCACAATGCGAGCTGTGTGTTCTCAAAATGCTTTGTGGTCATGTTGCTTGATTTCTGTTTTCTTTCGGTCTTATTTTGTGATTTGTTTGATTATTCAGCTTAACTTCTTCTTCAGGGATGCAAACTCATCAGTGATAAAAAAGGTAAACAAGATGCAAAACTGAGACCTTTAAACTCTCAATTTAGTTGAGTTTATATACACAATCTTAAAAAAAAAAGAGAAAAAAAGTTTAAAACATCTGATTTAAAACCAATTCATTACGACTATACTGAATATTAATAATAATTTATATTAATATTATTATTATTATTTAAAAATTACAAATTTGTAAAAAAAAAATGGTTGGCATGTGTTACGTTCCCAAACTCAACCCAAAATCCCAGCACTTGCAGAGATGGAGGTTGTGTGGAGCAGCATTTACCGAGTCGCTCTGAGACGCTGAAAACACAGAATCACAAGCTGCTCGCGTATAAATGAACCCAGAGCTGCACTTACTCTTACTTCATTTCAAATGCCAATTTTCACCATAAAGCGACAAGTTTGCATCCTTGCTTTTTTGATTGATTATTCGGTTGACATTTCTGTCTTTGGTTTTTCAGAGTTTCGACGCCACTAACCTTCACCATGACCGAGATCAAAGCACAGGGAATGGTCAGCAGAACCATGTTCTCTATAAACCAGCAGAACCACATGGAAGAGTTCCGAACCCCGACAACCCGCAGAACCTCCTTCAGACGGAGCTCCTTCTCCAGAACCAGGCCTTTGATGGTCTGGCAGGCCGTGTAGATGAACGCCAGCACCAGGAACATGGGCAGTATGGTGCCAATGGACGAAACGAAGCTGCAGGAACGACCAGAGCTGATTCAGAACATTGTGTCATCATTCACACAGTTCATTCTGTGTTTCACAGAAGAAGAAGAAGAAGAAGAAAACATTCGGGTCTGGATTGAGTAACTCTATAAATGACAGAATTTACATGTTTGGGTGAACCAGTGTTATTTTAGTATCACTGATATACTATTATTTTTTACTAATTTACTGTTGAGTTTTACTATTGAGTTTTTATTAATATTTTGAATTCAATTTTATTTTTTATATTTAATTTAAGTTAAAGTCCTACAGTAATTTAGTTGTGTTTTTGTCAAAGCAAGTTACATTTATTTGTATAGATTTTTTTTTTCTCACAACACACATTGTTTCAAAGCAAGAAAATCATGATGTTAATGTTTCTAATATCTTAACATCTTCACGTCTTAGAGCCGCATTTAGCAGATTAACGTTGGGCGATAATATAGTTACATTCTGTGATGATATAAACAAACACTTAATTTACATTTAAATGTATTTCAAGCAATGAAAATGGTTTTAATTTGAGTTATTTTATTACTTTAACTTTTTGTACTTTTAGAATGAGAATGAACACAGAATGAGAAATGTTGCCTTGGCAACTAACTGAAATAAAATACGTTTTTAATATATATAAAATAATATTTAAATGTTTAAGTTAAAATGTTTATTTCAAGTAATGACTTTAAATAAGCGCGTCTGATATTATTGTGAATGAATCCGGCTGTGCTGGATGATCTTCCCGCCACACACACAGCTCAGCGTCAGTATGATGCATCATCCGATGCCGCTTTGATAATACAGTAAGCCAGTATTAAAGTACTCTCATAAGGCCAGGAAAATGTCATGTCAATATCGGAGCCGAAGGTTCGGGAAACAAAGTGCTGTCTGCGCTCAATTAGCTAGCAGCTCAAATATATCATGTGCTCTCAAAATATGACGAGCTATAGATTTCTCATATCGGATCTGCTTACCTTTCATAAATACAGTCAGGGAGAGACGCCACAATACAATTAGAGCTGACACCAGAAACAGCTGAGGGATGGTGATAACAAACTCGTTAAAACGCATTAATTCACCATCATCTCTCACTCAAAACTCTCTGTATTGTTCACACAGCTGTTAGTCCTGATCTGAAACGCTACATACGGTTGCATTAACTTCGCTCTTAACAAAGAGCACTCTGCTTTCTGTTCTGCTTTCTTATATATCATTTAGAAATAATGGAACATGTAATATGGATTTGTGGCAGTAGATAAGCTGTTTTTATCCAGTCAGGCCAGAATCCTCTGGAGGACTTACTGAGGCATTTACAACATGAAACTCTTCTGCCCCTTACATTTACAATTCAGATTTAGGCTTTTTGTGCAGTGAAAAATGACTCAAACTCTCTGTATTGTTCACACAGCTGTTAGTCCTGATCTGAAACGCTACATACGGTTGCATTAACACGCTTTGGTTATATAATTGGCATTCTATAGCCGATTTGAGGAGAGAAAACACTAAGAATGAACTGATAACTTTGTTTAAATGTTGTGTTTGTGTTGTTTTAGCGTTACTACACAAACAATTTAGCACTGAATGTAACTTTAAGTGCACAATTCCTCACCTTACGGACTAGTTCTGAGTGTGTCTGAGTTTATATTTTCGTACAAATAATGGTAGTAAAAAAAAAAAAAAAAATTTTTTTTCTTAAAATTATAATCTTTTGTGTTTCAAAAAAGAAAGAAAGCCATACGGGTTTGGAACGACATTCATGCATAAATTATCCCTTTAACTGGTTTGGCCTTCAAATTGTCGAGTGTCATTTTCGGCATCAAATATTGCATGCAGGTCGTTTGTTTCCATGGGTTTACGCATCAGCCGATCAACTGCCATTGAGATGAATGGGAATGCTAACGGATTGCTTTCTCTAGATACGATTAATCCTTGAGGCACAGTGATTCGCTCTTAACAAAGAGCACTCTGCTTTCTGTTCTGCTTTCTTATATATCATTTAGAAATAATGGAACATGTAATATGGATTTGTGGCAGTAGATAAGCTGTTTTTATCCAGTCAGGCCAGAATCGTCTGGAGGACTTACTGAGGCATTTACAACATGAAACTCTTCTGCCCCTTACATTTACAATTCAGATTTAGGCTTTTTGTGCAGTGAAAAATGACTCAACACAGACACACACACACACACACACACACTCTCTCTGAAAAGCAAAGTAGCATTCTCTCCATTCTCTTT